TCGGTCAAAGAGGTCCATGTACTCGTGCGGCGAAGTTTGGATTCCAGCTCTGTTTGTGCACGCTTGGATCCGCCCACTCGGAAGCCGCCTTGTCCCGCCGGAGTTCGCTGTCCGCCAGCTTCCTTGGATCTCGTCGCGCAATTGAGTCATGCGCACGAATTCTGCGAGCGCGTAATCTCGTCCGGCAGACGCTTTCTCGAGCGACTCCTTGGGGTCTTGCAACTCTTCAGAGAGTTGAGCCAGGGTTACATCCGGCGATGAGGGAGGGGGATTTGGCGCGGGAATCCCTCCACGCACCGACCCTAAGGCGGATCCGCCATGGGTGGATCCGACATAGTCGTTGGTCACCACCTCCTCTTGGTCAGACGCAACTCGTCACGGAGTCGGTCCAAGCTCGCGTCCGCGGCTGCCCTAGCAGTCTGAAAATCCTCCAGATCCCGCTTAAGGTCGTGGATCCGGGATTGGAGCTGGTGGATCTCAGATCCGGCGAGCGCCATCTCCCTAAGGAGATGGTCGTTATCATCTCGCATGCCATCTCGTTGACGGGAGGCGCGATCCAGCCGTCCGGTCAGTTCGCGGATCTCGACCGCTTGATCAGCCAACAAGAGTCGTAGGTCCTGCAAACGAGAGGCCGCACGGTGTTCCCACCCCTGGATCTCCATAGCCTGGTCATGGACCTGGGCTCGCAAGGTTCGGAGTTGGGTGGCGTGCAAAGATGCAGCTTGGTCGCTAACATCTTGGGCCGTCTGGAGCTCCGCCGTCAAGGCTTGCACCCGATCGGAAAGAGCTTGGGCCAGAGTACGCAGATCGGTGGGCGACATTGAAGAGGGGCTGACCGGAGGAGTGGTAGAAGGAGCCTTGCCCGGCGATTGGCTGGTACGCTTGGTGGGAGACATATGTCACAAAGGGGAGAAGGCGGTTGTGGATGCTGGTAGTGCACGTAGTGAACGCTGTTGTGCAGCGCCGACAACGTACAGGAGGCGATTGTGGTGAACTGCTTTCTCAGAAATAAGAGAATGGACCCGACGCGGGGTCACTATCCCGAATCAGTGACAATTTCAAGTGATTAGAGAGGATTTGGGTTGTCTGGCACGGATGCAAGTTGCCTGTAGTGGATTAGCCATGACGAGCAACACCTCGTACGAAATGACGATGGATCTGGTATGAGTGATGTACGGGAAGGCAAGATCCACCAAGACTTATCTCGGATCCACCCTTACCTGGATTCACTTAGGTGGATATGGGATATACTATGTACCAGTGGATCGAGTGTGGATCCTATGAAGGAATGGTAGTAGGTGTCATCTGAAGGTGGATCTAGTAGCCACGGCTAACAAGAAGTCAGGATCCACCGCGAGGTACCCCGGATCCCATACTTCCGAGTTCGGATCCAAGGAGGGAGAATCCCGCATAGAGGGACCTGGATCCAGGGTATAGGGATGATGGATCCATGGCGTAATCATTATGGTCACCCTATTATGGGTACACTCATCCGGATCCAGGTCGCTTGGATCCACTTCACTGTAAGTGTACACCCGTCGTGGATCTGAGCTCTCCAATCATCCAACATCATCTCGCAACCGTCTGTGATCTCCATTGTCCCACGAAAGTTCGAGATCCACTGCATCCGGTGGATCTGAAGATAATACAGCTGGGATGATGGGTCGAGGGAAGAAGGGACATGCAGCCGATCCTGGTAAGGGATTTAGCAAGTAAAAGACATAGAAGGTAGAAATCCAGGCAGGTATAGGCTTAAGTATCAATACAGAACCCCATTTGCACCATAACACGCAAGTGCCTTCCTGCCCTCGAGAACCGGAACTACATTGGCCGTACGAGCTCGGAGAAGGTTGGGAATTGCGAATCTAGTGTTGGTAGTGATAACTGGATAATACATTGGCCAGATCCTACAACCTAGTAAGCTTTCCCATACACGTGTAGATCCGACGGGTTAACCGAATTTACTACTTGGTCGGTTATACCCTAGAGGCTCTCAACTCTCAAGATCCCGTCACAGGAGGCGGCAAGTACGACGCAAAGGAACTACAAAGGCAAGGGAACACACCCGCAAGGCAACCCTACGGCCAGATCCACGATCTAGGCCCCGGATCCATAAGCTCGAATATTCGCTTAGGATTCGGAACCATCCACGGACGCAGAGTGAAGATTTTCCACTGCTGCTCCACCCCATCCCCACGTCTCGCCAAGACACTCAAGCTTCACCACTTGAACGCTTCGGAAGTTACCGAGAGAGCAGATCCCGCCCTACCGACGGGTACACAAGGTGAGGAAAGTTCAGCAGAACACGGATCATCGGGGAACCCCCTCCGTTAGTCGGTGTCTGGGCGCAGTTGGTAAGTTGGACCCAGCAATCTCGCAAATTTTGCTGATCCCGCTACACCACACTAACAGACGTGCGGTTAGCATGCATGTATCCCTGCGGTATGACCTGTTTACAGTACGTAATGTGCTTGGTCATAATGACTCATACATCAGAAGCGTAAGCACAATAAACTACCATCACGATGCAAAAGTACCGTGAAAGCAACAGCGACCACAGGTATATATTTTGGTTATCACGAGCACGTGGCATATACACTCATTGCCCACCTTGCGAGATATGCACGGACACATCAAATAGCACGCCGAGCCGATAAGTAGGCAGCAAAAGTACTTCATTGAATTTAGCTTTGCAAATAAGTCGGTAAGTAAGTAAATGGCGTTCATCCTATCATACCAGTGTCAGAAGATAAATTTGTTATTAATGTCAATTCGATTAGTTAGAACAAGCTAACGAACATCAAGTACACTCCCTTCAGTAGTGTCTGGTATTAATAAGAGCTCAGCGAGCCATATGGAGGGGAGGAATTGGTCATTTGGGTGACCATTGGCAGATACTAGCGGTTATAAACCATACTATGCATGCGGAGATGATCAAACCTTGGTCTAGCTGACCGTCGCAAGCAGCAATATGGTCACGAATACCTCTCGGCTAGGCAAAATAGTACCTGTCGTCCAGTTTACCCTATGACATGGGATCCCAATACGCGTTGATAGGCGTGTTACTATCGCTAAGCTTATCTGGAATCTCCCCACCGAATGATGTTGAGATTGGACGCACAAATGATGATGACATATATTCTGAATAACAGAGTGTGACTTTGCAACGAAGCGCACCTCAGCGTGGTGCTATTTGAGGAGCGAAGCGCTCAACCAAGAATTAAGACAACATCCTCCAGGGTAAGATGGTGTTCATCTTGCAGATCACGTTAAGCCCTGGAGGTAACGACGAATAGTTCCTTTTTGCAATGATTTACAGTCATTTCTACCTTTGCCATGATGATCAATATTATTCAGCCGAGCTAGATCTATAACACGTCTATCCATCTGTAACAGCCAGTTGTCAGATATACATAGCTATATGTGACGTTGTTAGAACTGACTTCAAGAAATGCAAGAGATAGATGGAGAGGCGGTTGGTGAGGCAGAACATGTGGAGCACTAATAAATGAGTGTGTAAGCAGTGTCTTTTAAAAGGCAAATGCCCTAAAAACACAGAATTACATTATTATGTGTTAGCTGTCTTGAGTAGAGAAATCTAAGGCCCACCGCAGCGCCAGCGGAGAGTGGTAAAACCCACCATTACACCAATCAACCATGCCCTAGCGTCCGCGGAGCGGGCGCCCAGAGCGCTAGTCCAATGCTACTGTACACTGGTAAAAAGTTCGATTTCCCGGCAGCGTGTCTGTTCCGTCCGTCCGTCCATCCGTCCGTCTGTCAGTCAGTCCGTCGCTTTCGTCTCTTGCTGCTTTTGCCTACCTTTTAGCATGGCTACACTCGGCCAGTCTGTTACAATTTCCGCCCATCTTACCGCATGCGCCTATTTTTCTGACTCGACCTAACTTTGCCAAAATTACAATAAACGCCACACAATTAACTCACGCCCTGATTGGTCGACATTTTCCGACTCATTTTTCATTCAAAACACAAAATTGAATTTTTGAGCCACGGCGCGGCAAGGACAAGGTGCGCTGGCTGTATAATAACAGTAGGGTAGATTTAGAAGTATATGCATGTATGTACGGGCGTGGGGCTCCTTACTCTTTTATATATTTAAGAGAGACCTCTCAGGATACAGTCTGAGGCTTGCCCCGAGACTCCAAAGTGGTGTGACAGTTGGTAGCGATAGCAATCAGGTTGGGGTGGGTGTGACTGCGCCCATGGCACCAAGCATCTGCATGATGGCGTTGTGGTCCAGCTGCACGTTGTTGCCAGATCCGCGGCTGCCATCGCTACTGGAGGCTGCCTGGGCGTTGTTCATACAATCGTTCACCTTCTTGACGAGATCCTCATCGCGCGACGCGTCCTTATTCTACGGTGTATAGTGTTCGTAAGGCGTTTGTTGCAGTTGCCTTTGGGTGTTAAGTTCTCTATGAGTTGACGTACCTGCATCTAGAAGAAGAAGCGACGCGACGAGTTCTTGTACTGCAAAATACACACGCGGTCGTTGGAGCGCCCTGTGTCTATCTTGGCAAAGTGCGCGTCGTCCAGGAAGATGATAAAGTCCTCTGGACTTGCGCCGTTCTGGCGGCCAACCCACTGGAAGTGCAGAAGTTGGTCATCTTCACGCGAAAGACACACTTTGCCCTTCTCCAGCTGAGGAGTTATTAGAAATTTGCCGTTGGCAGTGGGCTTGACTGTCATCTTGCCAGCGTTGAACGACACCAGCTCGTTCTGAACAGCCAGTAACAGCGTTAGATACTGAGGGAGACAAGGGGAATAGATGGTTGCAATGCACACACGCGGCCGGCGGTGCTCGGCGCGAACACGTTGCCGAACTGTGGGAAAAGTGACGACGCCATGGCGTTCTCGGGATCTCCTATTGGTAATGCGGAAGATACTGAAGTGTCCCATTAAAATTACAAAAAAACGTATTTTACTTTTCGAGCTGTACAATACATGTACGAATGAATAACCAACGTTAGATTTGCATTCTCAACAATGGCTCGACAGGTGCTAAACTACCACGACGTGCAGTTGTACGAGTCGGATGCGGCGCTGTTCACAGGTCACCAGTGGCTCAACGACAACGCCATCAACTTCTATTTGCAGTATCTGACGCAGACAGTAGCTCGTCGCGACGTGCTGCTCATGGATCCGGCTGTGGTCTCGTGCTTGCTGCATCAGTGCGAGGATGAGGACGAGTACCAGGAACTGGCGATTGGGCTTTGTGGTGTAGCGGGATCAGCAAAATCTGCGAGATTGCTGGATCCAACTTACCAACTGCGCCCAGACACCGACTAACGGAGGGGCTTCCCCGATGATCCGTGTTCTGCTGAACTTTCCTCACCTTGTGTATCCGTCGGTAGGGCGGGATCTTGCTCTCTCGGTAACTTCCGAAGAGTTCAAGTGGTGAAGCTTGAGTGTCTTGGCGAGGCGTGGGGATGGGGTGGAGCAGCAGTGGAAAATCTTCACTCTGCGTCCGTGGATGGTTCCGAATCCTAAGCGAATATTCGAGCTTATGGATCCGGGGCCTAGATCGTGGATCTGGCCGTATGGTTGCCTTGCGGGTGTGTCCCTTGCCTTTGCGTTTCCTTTGTGTCGTACTTGTCGCCTCCTGTGACGGGATCTTGAGAGTTGAGAACCTCTAGGGTGTTACCGACCAAGTAGTAAATTCGGTTAACCTGTCGGATCTGCACGTGTATAGGAAAGCTCACTAGGTTGTAGGATCTGGCCAATGTATTATCCAGTTATCATTACCAACACTAGATTCGCAATTCCCAACCTTCTTCGAGCTCGTACGGCCAATGTAGTTTCGATTCTTGAGGGCAGGAAGGCACTTGCGTGTTACTGTGCAAATAGAAGTCTTTATTTATTGAGTTAGTCCCTAGGGTCGAAGTATACACGAAACTTGTCCGGGCCAATGCTCATCTCGGCTACGATTGTTCTGCGAGGCCAAATCCAATCCCCGTCGAAACGCTATACGTAGTTGATCTCCACTTGATGATCCCTTTACGATTCCGTGCCCACTTGTTCTCTAGTTCGTGATCTTGATTACTCCATAGTGAGACCTAATGCTTGGCGGGCGAAGTAGACGCTGTCCTTGTCCAGGGGCAATAATCACTCCTGTTACAGCGATCACCCGAGGCCAAATCCAACCCTCGAGACGACTACAGGTCACTTGCTCTCCACAGTGCAAATTGAAGTCTGTATTGATACTTAAGCCTATACCTGCCTGGATTCCTACCTTCTATGTCTTTCACCTGTTAAATCTCTTACCAGGCTCGGCTGCATGTCCTTTCTCTCCTTGACTCATCATCCCAACTGTATTATCATCAGATCCACCGGATCCATGGCGTAATCATTATGGTCACCATATTATGGGTACACTCATCCGGATCCAGGTCGCTTGGATCCACTCCACTGTAAGTGTATGCTCGTCATCGATCCGAGCTCTCCAATCGTCCAACATCGTCTTGCGACTGTCTGCGATCTCCATTGTCCCGCGAAAGCTCGAGATCCACGATGCATCCACTATCCCCATATCCTGGATCCCGGCCACCTCGTGGGGGATCCTCACCCCGTTGGATCCGGACTCGGAAGTATGGGATCTGGGACATATCGTGGTGGATATTGACTTCTCGTTAGTCGCTGATACCAGATCCCCCTATAGATGACACCTACCACCATTCCTTCATAAGATCCACACTCAATCCACCCGTACATAGTATATCCCATATCCCCTTAAGTGAACTCAGGT